TTAATTCGTTCAATCGTTCATTTCACTCAGCGTTTTCAGTCTCCTCCAGAACCACTTTTTTTAATGCATTTACGGATCAGTTTCGGATGTCACCACCTAAATACTAACCTCTATTGGTGCTACCAGCGATCTGTTCTTTTTCGCGAATCCAAGCCAGTTCATCGTCAATATCTCTGAACAGCTGATTGCCTTGCAGAGATTCGGCCAGTTTCGCCTTTCGACTATTCAGTGGATCACGCAGCGCGTTGTAACTTCAAATAAATACAATCATTTCAAACAACATATAAATAATCGCTGAGGAATAAACACGGAAAATCAGTGACGATGTCAGTCAATTCTCACCGATTGCGAAGTGCCTCTTCTTTACGAAGAATCACTGGTGCATCAAAGTGACCACTCTCACTGAATGTCTTTGCTTGATTATGAAGACTTTCGATTCGATCTTGATGCGCATTATAATCACTCTCCAACAGCGCTTGTTTCTTCTGCAGATTCTGAACCGATATCAAATCTTTACCGAAATCTTCAGATGCTATTTGTCCTTCCAACTCACTCAACCATAACTCCACGTCCTCTATGTTCCTGAAATCATTAAAAAATATACACATATTTACTCATATTTATATTAATATAAACATACATTCGTATTCCAAAATTTACGTCTTTAACAGAAATCTCATTAAAAATGACACAAAAAATTCCTTATACTAGACGAAAATGTTTCTCTTCGAATTTCTACAATATCACATTAACAGAACAGAAAGTGAAATGAGATATGCACCAATCAGATGCAACGTACCGATTGAATTGCTGTTGATCACCAGCCTCCTTGAGTTTAGCCAATTTCTTAGCGGTGGCATCGACAAGATCATCCCACATACCATCAACTTCGGCGAGACGTTTCTTGATGTGATCGGCTGCATAATGATTCTCCTTGATCAACGCATCTCCAGTTGCGTTGATTTCATCGAGTCGATTCTTATTCGCTTTCAGTTCTTGTTCATAATTCATGTGCTTTTGCAATTTACCACTGAAATTTCATATACATAACAACACTGTATTCTCATATTCCGTGTCACCACATCACAGTGAAAAGAGAAACAACAGATCAGTAAACTGAAAATTATTAACCGGATGTTGGTTGGATCCAGGTATGAATCATCTTTAGCTGTCTTCAGTTTCTCGGTGATCCATCCGACCATTTCGTCACAGTCCCGATCGAATTGTTGCAAGCGATACGAATTCTCGAGTTGACGACGGCGTTCTGCTGCCTGAACAAAATTAAGTCAGCTTCTTTGACATAAACAACTCAGACATCTGCTGAATGAGATTGCGTCTCCACTATTAAACACATCGCTGATCAAACAAATCAATCCAAGTTTTCTCCTATCTAC